GACGGCGCCGCCGCCGGCGGGCCGGAGACGGGCGATTCCACCGAGGAACCCCGCAACTGCTGCTGCTGCTGTTGTTGTTGTTGTTGGAAGTCCTCTTGTTGCTGACGGAGCTGCAACCGCTCCTGCTGGAGTTTCTCCCCGTCGAGTTTGAGCTGGTGGCGGAGTTTCACGAGGTCGGATTCCTCCTCCTGGAGGCGCGTCCGGAGCTCCTCGAGCTTTCGTCGCTCGGCGAGAAGCCCTGCACGTTCTTGGCGGATCTCTTCCTTCGCGCTCGCGAGGGTTTCATTGCTCATGGGCACCTTGAAGGTGATGTTGTGCGCGCGATTTTCAAGGACGCCCTCGGGGTACTCCACGGCGAACTGCGGACTGGGTTGGTGGAATTGGAAGTTGATGTCGTCATCCGTATCGGTCGCCCAGCTAAAAGGAACGCCCGCGGCTCCCGCCACGGGAACGGGGTTGCCCCTGGTCAAGGACTCCATCGGGGAATCCGCGGAAACCACCCCGACGGACCCGCTGTTCACTTCCTTTGCTTGTTCCTCTTCCACTTCCTTCACGGGGACTACCGGGGGTTGAGGCTCCTCCACGGGCGGGTTCACCACCTCGGCAACTTCGGAAGTCGTTGGCTCCACTGCTACCGGGGTTTTCTCCACCTCCGGCTTCACCTCCACGGGTTTGACGGGGGTTTCTACAACAGGGGCGACCTCCACCACGGGAGAAGCGGCAACAACGCCGCTGGAAGCAGCCACCGGGGCGGTGGTCTTTCGGCTGCCTTGGAGGGCGTCGAGGAAAGATTTCCCCGCCGCCGCCGGGGCGGTGCTGGTGATGGAAACTTTAATGGTCGGCCCGACGGAAACGGGCGCGGCGGGCTCCTCGGCGGATTTGCCGGAACCCGCGGCAGTCCTGTGGGGGTGGTCACCCGTCTTGGAAGGGCGCGACTGAGTCGAGGCCTTTGTCCGGATGTTCGTCTTCGGCGGCATGTTCGATGAAATACGGGATATGGAAGAAATCACGAGCTTCAACGACGACTGTTCACTTTTTATTTTCTTTTTTTCCCACCTTGGTGAAACCGGGCAGATCTTCTTTAGAGCTTTTCAGTTTATTTTAAATATTAGTTATTACTTTTTAAACCTTTGTTACCCTATAAAGACCTATGGTATCCCACTTTCTTTTGACTGAAATGAGTCTTTGTTTCAATTTTTTTTATATATAATGACAATTTGTTGCAACACCTAACCAAACTATTTACTCCCCTTGTATATATATGTATAAATAAATATATATCTAGAGATATATAATTATTTATTTATAATATTTGGAGAAATAACTGTTAAATCACCTAATTAATAAATACGAAACCTTAACCTTAACGTAGGAAATTTCAAAACTTAGCACAAATAAAAAAAATCAGAGAGAGCTAAAAAATCTACCGAAGAAGAAGAAAAGAGCAAACGATGAGATGGAGAAAAATGGAACTCATACCAACAACGACAACAACAAAAAAAGAACAACGGAGTGCGACTGGGTTGTGGTATAGCGAATTCAGATACCGATTTTTTTTCGCATGCTTTTGATGCGGTGGGGATGAACATAGTGTCTAAATCAACCATCAAAAAAGAAAGCGAAATACACATTACCAATTTTTGGAAGTATAGGCATGTTACTAAAGCAATAGGCAAAGCTATAATTCATCGAAACAAAATGTCGAATCACTTTTGTACTCAACAGAAACACTGCTAGCAATTTTGGTATTGCCAAACCATTCTAAAAGTTGGATTTTAATATTCACACCATTCTGCTTCCCTGATTTTTCGTTTGTATACGCCATAAAAATGTACAGAATGCGAGCACTTCACCCACACATCCTCTCCTATCTTTTTGCGTTTACCCTCGATCCCTCTAATTTTTCTTTTGGTCTCGACATCCCTCACCCCTATAGTCGCCTCCAGATCACAACCAATCATCATCCACGGAGAATCCAAAGTCTCGTCCTTTGCAGCAGGTATAAGGCGCCACGAGGGACCAACTATACAAGAACATCGCACTCCACAACGCCACCGTTCGCACCCAAAAGGCGATATTCACACTCCCGATAAAGGTATCCTGCCCGGCCCCGCTCACCCGCCAATCCGTCGCGAGCATCGCGAGATACATCGAGCCGAGCGTCATAATAAAATAAAAAAACATGTAATGCGAGAGGTGCCCGCTGCGATCCGGATCCTCCTCCTCGTCTTGATCATCCAATCCGACGTTGAGGGCGCGCCCGCTGCCGCTGGAGGAGATCACGGTGTAGGCGAGCGTGAAACTCGTTACCAGGCTGCCGAAAATCATCTGTTTCAACGACGTCCCCGACGACGCGGCGCTGCCGTAGCGGTTGCAATAATCGCTCGGGATGGTGCGCAACGTCAGGAAAAGAACCCCGCTGGTGTAGAGAAAAACCAAACAACTCGGTACGATCGAGCCGTGCGGCACCCAGATTGATAACACGGTGTAAACGAGCGCGCCCGCGGCGACGACGGTGATCACGAACGCATTCAAATTGCAATCCGCGTGCGGGACGTAGACGTAGATCGAGGCGATGTTAATAAGGATCGCGAGCACGAAACTACCCACGGCGATACCGAACAGGTACCACATCCACTTCTCATTCGACTCCGCCCGCTCGCTCCAGTCATCGCTCCATTGATAAGAGAAGTCGACGAGAAAGACCACGTTGATGAGGAGGAAAAAGGCCGAGCAAAACAGACAAACGTACGCGTACATCGCAAAAAAGCTGTTCGGGATGAAGAAGGTGAGGATGAAAATCAAAACGAGCAACAACGACTTGATGTAGAAAAACCTCGACTGGAGCTCCGCCCGGGCGCTACTCTGGATGCAGCACGTTAGGTCTGATACACTCAGCCAGTGGAAAAAAAAGAAGACGGCGAGGGAAAAACTCACACGATACACCACCATCTCACTCACGCACTCTTTTCGCAACGTCACGTCCGAGTTTCCGGCGATAAACGTGCAGCCTTGCTGAAGAAATGAAATCCCATTGAAGAGGGAGCTCATCAGGCTTCGAAACACCAACGTCACGAGAATCCCAACAAACAGATAGCAAGCATACTGGAGGCGGATGATAAAGCCTGGGATGAAGATATTATCCTCACTGGACGCCATCTACCGCGGGTTGGAGTAGTGGATTCGGTGAGGTTGTTCGAGTTGGAACCGTCCGTGTGAATCCCGTCCTATTTAAGAGTGAAGAAGAACGTGTCTACACACGATTGAATTGTATCCAATAGAGAGAAGCCAATCAAAACTATTCGGAGGAGATAAAGGTGTATGCTTCTTCCCCCTAGCAGAGGGCCCTTCACGAAATCTGAAGCGAGTGCACTATATACGAAAAAGAGGGGGAGGAAGAGAACCACACGAACCCGATATCACGAGAGTGGTTCTTAAGTAGTGTTACTAGCGAGAATAAATAGGCTATAGGCAGAATAACTTTTTGAAGCGAAACCAAACTATCTCAAAGGGAAGGCAGCAGCATTCGCATTAGAAAAGACGCAAAGAAACTCTTTATGGTTGGCGTCATTTGCCCCCAGGAATTTTTCGCACTGCCAACTGTGTGCGCTTGGGTATCATCTTGTTTTTTTTCATTATTCTTACTTTTCACATTCTGAGAAAAGATGAAACCCGAAATGCATCAAGGATATTTTAAGTAAGGGAAGCATACATAATGACTTACTCATTCTTTGAGCCTGAGTTTCGTCGTATTCGGATAAATTTTCTTGGAAAACGTAGTAGCTAAACTTTACATTCAAACGCATCAGAAAGCGCACAGAATCACCATCCCAACCGGAACCCCATCAAAACGAGGGGCTAAAGGAGCGGAATGGATTTTTTTTCCTTTCGACCGTCATATATCAATGGATATCTATATATATATACCGATAGATTTATCGATCCATATTCGAGCCTTCCGTCATGATTCGTTTCTTATTCCCCCTTTTTTTTCTCGTGGTTTAGAACCGCCCGCAGACGGGCTCGGCGTCCTCGACCGCCGCGCAAAACCCCTCGTACGCGATCTCCCCATTCCCGGTGGAGAGGGCGGTGGTGAGGGTGGCCGCCTCCGACGGCGCCGGTGGCGATCCCAAAAGCGCCGCCAAACAGGAAAAAAACACCCCCGCGCGAAGGTACCCCCGCCGCGCGCGATCCTCCTCGCGAAACGCGAGCAACGCACGTGCGCGGCGCCCCCCGAGCTGGCGTCGAATCCGCGCCACCACTTCTTGATAACGGCGTTGGAGTCCGCCGGGTTTCCCACCCGCGCCTTCCGATTCGGATCCCGTCGTGCACGGAAACGGCTCCGAAAAAGGGGGGGCGGCGGTGGATTTCTTCTCCTCCGCGAGCCGCACGCGGAGGGCGGCGAGGAAGGCGCCGTAATCGACGCCGTCGCCGTCGGCGAAGGCCGCCTCGAGGGCGCGCAGCTCCGCCTCGGCGAGGGCCGTCATCCCGACGACGTTCACGACGTGGCGGAAACGCGGGAGGGAAACCCGCCCGTGGCGGAGTTCGTCGCCGTCAGGGAAGAACCCGCGGACGTCCGGCCGCCGCGCG